TCTTCATTGCCGGCGATTCCCACATGTGAGGGGAGCCAAAGGACGGAGACAGACACTCCTGCGGCAGCGATGGCTGCAAATTTGGTCCTCAGGAGGCAGGCTGTGAGCAATGAGGGTTGGACGTCAGCCAGGGTCTGAAGAGCAAGCTTTGAGTCACAGAGTATTGCTACCGGTGACACTAGCGGGTCTTCTGCCAGTATGTCCGCAGCCAGGTTCAGTCCCGCTAGTTCAGCTGCAGTGCAGTTCGCGCTGAACGAAAATCTGCACTGACGGCTGGCTCTGGTGCTGGGCTGCTACCGCTGACCCACCCGAGAGCACTACGCGTCAGCCGATGGAGGCCAGCACTGCCTGACGTGGGAGAGAGTGTGACACGCTGAGAACTTATCCTTTCTGGCGTTGCATTTAGTAGCGTGGTTTTTACTAATGCAGTGCCTGTTATGAAAGTGTTTTGTGTGTTTTGTTTTCTGCGATTGGTTGTGGTGATGCGAGCCCACACGTATGATTGACTTGTGGGGAGACCCTTTGTTCAACTGAGGGTTGAAAAGAGAGTTGGAATGTGAAAGTAAAGAAAGGGTGTTCGACCTTGGACCTGGGCAGACGCCTGAAGGTTGCAATAAAGCATCTCTTTACCTAGCTACGACTCTTCCTTCGCTCTGCCGGCGAGCACTCGAATCATCGAGGGGCACTCATTCCGAACCTCAACATCTTCTCTCCTTAAAGGTACCCTGCAACACTTTTTGAGCATGATCGGAAAATGCTGCTGATTGGTAGTAGAGGCTCCAGAAAACATGCGAGCCAAATATTATAGCGCAGCACGCGGCCAGTAACTCACAATAAATTATCAAATTCAGCTAAGAATTGCATTCTCTTCTTTCGAAAAATCACGCAATAAGCCCTAACATCAGTTGTAGCAAGCCCATCTATCAGCCATTGGCTTATTTGAACATGGCGCACTCTGTCATTACAGAGATCCCCGTGGGAGGCTGTCACTTGTTCATGCGTGCGCGCGCAATCGCACTGAAACAGTCACGTATTCGAATAAAAAAAAGAAAAAGTGCTCAAGGTGACAAGTCACGTGTGACTTTTTTTGTTTGGCCCTTCTATTCCTCTCTCCTTAGCTTCCAGTGGTTGCGCCGGGACGAGAGAAGAGAAAATCAGTCAGTCAGTCAATGAACTTTATTTACAAATTGTCCTGAGGAGCCGATTCCCCTCAAGAGGGAGGGTCGGCTGCGGGCTGCACCCACGTGGGGACAGGAAGAGCGAGCCCCTCCGCCAGATTGCGGGCCCTCTGGACAGCCCGGATTTGGACCTCTCGGTCCGAGCTGGTAATTGCCGTCCTCCAGGCAGCTTCTGTGCTGAGAGGCTCGCCATCGCGCAGCGCCGCGCATTGCCAGAGCATGTGGGGTAACGTGCAACGTCTCGCTTCGCAATGAGGGCATTGCGGCTTTATGCTGTCAATAAACTTGCTGTACACTAAAGGCGACGGGTAAGTACCCGTTTGCAGCATTCTTAAAGTGACTGACTGGGCCCTAGAGAGTTGCGGGTGCGGGAGCGGAAAGCTACGCCTGGACAATTGATAATTTTTGCAAATTTCGTTAAAGGTGAGGAGCGAATCAAGCTGCCGGATGCCATCCCCAAAATTAGATGCCGATTGCCCGTCACGGTGGGACAGTTCGCGTGCTCGGGCATGGGCAAGCTCATTGGCATTGGGGATAACAGGGTGGACATCCTTGCCCATGTGGGCAGGAAACCAGGTGATGTGGCCGTCGATTCCCGTGCAATGTGGTATTTTGGTAAGAAGATGGGCTGCCTGCTCACAGACTGACCCGGTCATGAACGCTCGTGCAGCAGCTCGAGAATCAGTGAAAATGCGCGTGCGCATGGGAATCACCACGGCCATTGCTATAGCAGCCTGCTCTGCCCTAGCCGGCGTGGTATCTCGAAGAGATGCTGCTATGAGGATTTTACCGTGAAGGTCAGTGACCACAGCCACGAAATTGGTTGTGCCGGGATACTGTGCTGCGTCAACGAACGCCACAAGTTCAGGGGTGGCAGCGGCGGAACTGAGGAGCGACCTAGCCCTAGCGGTCCGGCGGCCGACATTGTAGAGAGAATGCATTGCAGCGTGTGGCAAATATTTGTAACTTCACTCATACTGATTGGATTCTTAAAATTTTGTGGCGTTGAATTTGTGAGGCAATACGCTTTTCCAGTGAATTGATTCCATGGTGACTTAAAAAGGTGTTTCAGGGCCCGAATAACTAGTGTAGAAGCTAACCGAGGGGTAGCAACTTAACTGCGTACCAAGTATGAGTTGTACTTATTTTAGATAGTGCTATGCCCGGCTTATTTTATATATAAGCTTCATGTAATCACGTTGCGGGCGTTTTCAATATTACTGCTTTTATTATATTGGTTCCTCCACCTCTCTGACTTTTGGCAGAAGGACCTCATTGTCATATCGCTCATTTCGAACCGCATATTTGCTAGCGAGCTTGCTAGTTCTTTTCTTTGCTTTGAGTCAGCGCTCTTTTTATGAGAACATCTAAAGAGTTTTTCAGTAGATGTGATATAATTTTTTATATTTTTTAGTCCAGTCTAACAAGAAAAAAAAAACAACAATAAAAGTTTGTCAGGAAGGGTGAACAGAATGAAAATAATAAAAGTAATCTTCAGCAGTGATGGTTCTTTGGCTAGTTGAAAGTCGTATGTTCGCAGAGGCTTGAAAAAGAAAGGCATAGTAAAGCACAAATGAAGCAGCGTCCTTTTGATCCCAAATCTCTAAGTTCTCCTAACTGACTTGTTCTAAGTATTTTATAGCAAAATATTTTCACAGCTTTTGAGTCACGACTTTTTTGATAAATTATTCATTTCCTGGCTAATCCCCCAAAAGTGGATGTACATACATATAGGCCATCATGATAATCATCATCGCAATAACAACACAGCGCTTTCATTTGTTATTAATGTGTGTCTCACTGTGTCTAAAATTTATTTCAAGCATGTGCAGAATTATAGCATGATAAAGTATTGAAACAGAAGAAACATTGTAAGATTCAAAAGGGAGCGTGAATGTGTGCATTGGAGAGACGCCTTAGTGAAGCACTCTGCAAAATTCGACCTTCTGGGGTTCTTTAAAGTGCATCCTAATCTGAGCAAAGAGGCGTACAGCATTTTCGCCTTTATTGAAAATGCAACCGCTGCCGCCGCGATTCGATCCCGCGACCTGCGTGTGAGCAGTCGAGTGCTTTCGCCACTAGACCAACGTGGCAGGGCCATTGCTCATTGCTACCTCGCAAAGTAAATATCGCTCACTACCACTTGCTTGATGAATTGCCATCCAGTTGGTATTTTTATTGCTGCAATCCAGTGGGTGCCCACGTTAGCATCCGCCTGTTCAGTACTCCCGTGAAGCAGTTATCTCGGGTAACTGCATTAAATCGAGAAACTTTTGTGTTCTTCTGGCATATTAACTTAGCATCAAACCTTTCCTCTCCTACACCTGATCACATAACTGTATTGGCGATCACCCTCCTTGTTCTTCATACTCTACTTCATCTTGATCACAGTCGCACCCACTCTTGCGACGGCCATAAACAAGCACATGTTTTGTGCCTGCTCTAAGCTGCCTGTAAGGCTCTCTACGATTTAGGTGCACGGAACGACAGAGTGCAAAATTTTTGTAGCCCTTTTATATTGCGTCGGTAATAAGCATATAATGGTTTTGCGATGTTAAAATCTAAGAGTTAGTCTTTAGTATACTCAAATTTTGCAACAGCCCAATGGAACTCTCACTTGCAACATCCTTGTCTAACTAGGTGGTAGCCTCAGTTAGCTGGTAAATCTACATAGTCATAATATACTTGTTGTTTTCTTAGTTTATTCTAGGTATGTCCTTTATTGTGAACCTGGGCATTCAGTAAATTGACGCTTGAGTGTCGCTAAGTTACCCTGCAAGGAGCACACAACGACGTAAGGGACCTGAACAAAATACGGAATCTAAAAGCCTAGCGGGACCGATCTGGTAACACCTGAAATTACACGCTTGTTCTCAAAGTACACATTGCTTAATCTGTTTAAAATTTGATGGGAGATCCCACAGTACAGGTCACCTTCAGAATTATGTGCACCATGCTTTTGAACTATTATTAATAAAAAAATGTTCAACAAAAGATGCGTTGTATGCCAACGCCGTGAAAGGTAGAAGAACTATTTCGCGTATGTTTTAGCACCTCCTCTATAAACATAAAAAACTTCGACAACATGTTACCTGTAAAGGGTACCATAATCTGTCACAAGATATATTACAGGTATTCCGGAGGGGTTTTCCGAAGATGAATAAATAACATGTTTCGTCACAAATGCGTGACCATAAGGTAACGCTGGCACCTAATGGTTTAGACAATAAAACATTCCCTTTTAAATTGAGAGTTTGCCGGGTAAATCTAAATACGCCCCTCCTCCCGACGAAAGAAGAATTGCGTGTATTCATCGAGGTTTTTTGTGCTTATTTGAAAATACAAAGCCCTAACTATGAGCCTAAGAGAAACTGTGCGAACAGCAAGGACCTATTGCCACAGGCAAGCGTGAAAACTGCTTTGTGTTAACACTAAAAAAATGAACAGCATGAACTAAGCCAGTTGTGAAGCATTACAGCTGTCTATCTTTACGTGTGCCTCAGTTTGCGAATGTTATTGCGTGTAAAGATACGACAACAAAGACCATCCACTCTTCAAAACAGCCGTAGCTAACACTATAAACCGTATATCAAAATAATATTTTTTTATGTTTGCAGTCTTTCTCGTTCGCTCTTGCTTGTGTGTTTTTAAATCCCCGCCACTTCTTATCTTTGGTCTTGATATTATCAATAAATGAAAAAAATTCACAAACTGCAAGTACTTCTTTACGAAAACCATTTACTGAAAATCGCACCTAATTCAAACTTAGATCTTTAGTCACTGTTTGTCATTTAGCGGCCCGGTCTTTTCTGGCGCGGATAACGTTTGCCATGGTAGAAATAAGGGCTTTTTATTTTGGGACCCGGACGCTTCGCGTGCGCTTCTTTCAGTAGTTCACGGTCCTCCACAACAACATGTATTACATCATTTTGTAGCGTATGAAGGCTTCTTGCTTCCATTCTTGCAAGTACCTCGGCACCGTTTTCTGCAAGATAGAATATTTTATTCTGATAAGCGACACTCGCTACATTTCCTGATATGAAAAAAAAGATGTTTTAGTGCACCAAACAATGTATGGGGAAGCTATATATGTGATATATACTGAATGCGCTCGCCCCATCACTAATAAAAGTGGTGTTAATGCAAATACGACTATTTCTGCTCGAAACAGCCGGTGACAGTTAGATCATCAAGCTACTCGAGTTTTAAAAGAGATCTGAAAACAGCAGCTCTGTGTACACCGCGTGAGCAGCAGGCTTTTTTAACACGAAAGTATCTTATGCTAGCGTCCACGAAGACTTCAATGACACAGTTTTGTAACGTAAGTGGAGTAAAAAAATTCGCAGGTTCACAAGACTAAAACATTCTGCAGATCCCACGCACCTTGGAATCGACGTCAATGCGAAGCATGCAGAGGGAAAGTGACCGTGATTGAACTTGTTTAGTGAGTGACACGTCTTGAAATAATGCTAAATATATGCACAAATAGTGCACGCACAGACATATGTTGAAGAGTTGCAGATGTTTATATATACAGTTGTTTGCACTTGCGCAACAATGCCAACTGGAACATGCGTATGAGCAATATCAGAAGCTGATATGAAGCGCTGATGCTCACCAGGATGCCTGCCCTGGACACCGATACATAGGCCAATTTCGGCGCATGGCAACTAATCACAATTTACGTTGACCCGACAAAACGGCTGGATGAAATGAGTACATATGTATTTTTTTAATTGGGGGGGGGGGGCAGCACTACAACCACCATTGACACTTTATGAACATTAGCGTCTATTTGAAAAGTAGTTCTGACACCTGGCGTAGCTCTGTGGTAAAAAGCTTCATTGTGACGCAGAATGCTTGGGTATGATTTCAGCTGGGACCCTGACAATTATTATTTGCATTCGTCGGGTTGACGCTACCGATGTCGGGTATTAACGCTCGCGCGTTAAAATTGCCCATATGTGTTTTCTCGTCGTTCCTGGGTAGATCCTGTCACCTGTGGCACATACCCACATACCAGCGGCACATACCCACCCGTGAGTATGAGCCCCATCTGGCAGGAAGTGTTTGACAACGTACGCGACGGGATTGTGACATTATTCATTTCATGACCAGCACGTCATATTCGTCATACCATCTTAGCCTCCCATGTTAATTTTGGTTCACGGCAAGTTAAGGGGGTGACCACAAGAGCACCCAAATGTAAGCGGCTAGATAGATAAATAGATAGATAGATAGATAAATAAATAGATAGAAAGATAGATAGATACGCTAAAGTCACCGGATTTTTGCTAAAAAAAGGTTCGTCATCCGGATTTCCACCCGTGTCCTCCGGTTTCAAGGCAATAAATGCCGCGCACGCTTTCACTGCGCCATGGTCGCATACTTTGAACCTTTAAAAAAATACGCCTTTTATAACTGTCACATTCCTCTCAGCATTATTGGTAAGCTGGGTAACGCATCATTACCTTAGCATTCGGGATTAGTTCCTTCAAAACGTCGTCTAGATTGATTGATATGTGGGGTTTAATGTCCCAAAACCACCATATGATTATGAGAGACGCCGTAGTGGAGGGCTCCGGAAATTTCGACCACCTGGGGCTCTTTAACGTGCACCCGATTCTGAGCACACGGGCCGACAACATTTCCGCCTCCATACGTCGTCTTGAAGCGTCCGTCTCATTCGGCGCGTACATAAACCAACAAGAATATTTGTTGGTGTTACGAACTACGTGCGCAGAAACCATTACTTCCTTTTTCTTCTGCCCACAGCAAGTTATTAAAGCGAGACATGACACGGACCGGCCTTGAGAATGCCTTGAACAGGTCGTGCGTTCACAACATCTCTGCGAGCTTCAGAGCTCAAGTGCCCCGGTTTATGACATCGGGTTTTCCTGAGGAGTTTACTGCTTCTGTTACTGAGACTATCCTGTGGACCAGTAGGGCAGAGCACAGGCAGGGACAGGATCCGTGTAACAGAGATACTGAGCGTGAAAGGATAGCCATTGTCCCGTACATACACCAGATATCACACAGGCTCAAGAAAATTGGAAAACGTGTGGGAGTTCATGTAGTGTTCTCTGCACCGTTCAAATTAATCAGTCTCACCAAATCTACAAACCTTCTGAAAACGTAGTCATCAACCGATTATAGAGTTAAGCATAAAAACAGATATGTGGCATGCTCCCGGGAAGTTGTCTATACGACCCCCCTTTTCAGCGGTGCACGTTAAGTCGAAACGACCGAAAGGTGTCTGAACGATCAACTGAAAGTACACGCTAACATTGTTAGAAACAGGAAAGACGGTTTTCTTGTTAGGCACTGCACTGAGTGCAACTGTGTGCCCCTTCTCTAGGACACTGTGACACTGTATAAGCACAGAATTGAGCGCACCCGAGTTATCGTCGACGCCCGCAGATGGCACCTGAACAGGTGTCACGCATTAGCAATCCCTCCGTGTCTCTGTCCGAGAAGGAACTGAGGTTCCTCGAAGGTTTCGGTGCGCTCAGTTCCTATATTCCTTTTACTTTTCTGCTTTGTTTTATTATAGATTTTTCTATGCGTTTTTAGTGCTTTTGTTTTTTTTTCCTTTTCCATGCATTGCTCTTCGTGCCACATGGTTTTTGTCGCATGGTTACTGTCTCCTCTATACGTTTTGACGCTCTTCGCAATGAACTTAGTTGGAAGTTAGCCTTCGTGTCCTTCTTGTATCTTTGTCGTCGTTTTGTTTTCGCACTATAACTATCGTCATGTCATACCAACTAGCCCAAACATCCCCACTTCTAACGTAGGTCACGCTAATCGACGGTACGTGCTCACGTACCTACGAGCCCTTACACGATGCTCAAACCAAGCAAGCATGACCTGAGTGACTCCAGCAGTCTCTTCTCGCCATCGTTGTCGCTTTTAACGTTGTTGACAGCACCTCCGTTCAAGCCGACGTTGCGAAACATGCTCCAAAGAACCCGTAGCGCGTTGGTCTCGTTCGTTTTGTTCATGATGCTCCCAACCAGCGTAAGGTCGTTGTAGAACTCCGGTCGGTCACACACCTTGCAGCTGTGCCCGAAGCTGTGGTCTTCAAAGCCGCGTTTGAACCGAGCCGCAAACTTCTTGGCTCGCCCGCTTCTTTAGCAGAGCGCTCGCGTTCATGAGCAGCTTCCGGAGCCGCCTCTTGTTGACGACGTTTGCACGCCACTTCTCGCTAACGTACCTCTGGTCTTAAAGCTCCTGCTCTCGTTTCGCCACTGATTCTCGTGCACGAAGCCTGGAATGCACAGCTCAGCGTTGCCGTTACATAGCTGCTTCTCGTGCACGAAGTTAGGAATCCGCAGCTCGGCGTTGCCGTTCCGCCGCTGCTTGTTGTTCCCCGAGTGAAGGATCCACAGCTCATTTCAAACGCTTACGTTCAGCGTTGTTTCGCCGCCTTGTTTTCTGCGTTGCTTGCTGCTGTTGACGCTGAAGGTGGTGAGAGTGCGGTAACGTTGCCTTGAACGAGTGTTGGGACGATGATCTCGGGCTGTGTCCCAGTACTGATTTGAGGTAGTGATGCCATCTGCTGCTTCAATCGCATCTACTCGAGTCAAGCAAAGCATCACGTTAAACGAAAGAGGGGAGAGAAAGGGGAAGAAAGGGGAGATAGAGGGAGGAAAGCCGAGACGAGCATGCGCAGTGAGAGAGTTGACACCGACGACGAGTGACATGGTGCGACCAAAAAATGCTCTGCGTTTAAATTGAGCCTAAAGAATACAAAGATTTAGTCACACGTCCACCTCAGCCGTATGGACGCAATTTGCTAGCCATTTTGCTTTGGCAGGCTGCGTCCTTACAGCTTCTACGGATGCATACCTTATGTGTGTTTAGAAGAAGTTGTTAACGATTTAGAGTAGCCCCGCCACGGTGGTCTAGTCGCTAAGGTACTCGGCTGCTGACCCGCATGTCGTAGGCCCGCGTGCTCAGATTTGGGTGCACGTTGAAGAACCCCAGGTGGTCGAAATTTCCGGAGCCCTCCACTACGGCGTCTTTCATAATCATATGGTGGTTTCGGAACATGAAACCCCACAAATCAATCAAATCAATCAACGATTTAGAGTACTCAGTACTCTACTATGGGAGAGCTTAAAGCCGTCCCGTGCGCTTCCCTTGAATGAAGCGGTTGACGTTGCGCCTTATGAGGGGCAAAGCTCCTTATAGCGGCACCCATTCTTCTCTCGTAGCCGTCGTAGTGTGTAACAATGGTTACATTTTGACCTCCAAGGTGGCGCTGGTCAGACATTTTTTGTGTGCGTTGTTGAAGAATAAAAACTAGTGCTCAATGTACATGCCAATGGCTGCTAATGGAGAATGAGAGGCAGGAACATTCGACTTTTAGTTAACGCGCACGCTGCGATCCCCATTAGCAGCCATTGGCACGTACATTGAGCACTATCTGAAAAGAAAGGGTTGCTACGTTATACTCGCTGGGTTTAACCTCCTTAGTTTTAGAAAGGTTTAGCGAGCGTTGAGCCGCAGTGCCAGGAATACAACGAACTAGTATATCCTCCTGAGTTCCAGCTATGGGGATTTGTCCAAAATATTGGACATGAAATACCCCATCACTACAAAGATCTCAGCATGTTTTCTTCCTCAAAAACCACTTGTCCAATATTTTGGACATCTACTGGCGCCCTCCATGAAGTTTTGTCAAAATTGCGCCAGGAGATCGCGAAACAAAGAAGAAAACATGGTGGCGTTCAACAGGGCAACTTCTAGAAGTTAAACGGCGAAAGTTAAGGTCCACTTTTCTGTTGGTTTTTTATTATTTGTTACATTTTGAATAATAGCTTGCAGTTATTCCGGAATTTGTCACAATTTTCTTCAGTAACCTTGCTTTGTGTTGCTTCAGGCCCACTACTTAACGCTTTAATTAAGTTTCAGCGTCCAATTAGTTGGACATCACGCCTTACCAAAAGCACAGGCATCACGGAAATAATAAGCTTCACTTTT